AGGGATTACAAAAACCAGTGTGTAGATGGGCTCAAATTTTAAATGAATTGTTCCTATAGCTTCACTAAATGGTGATTTTTTTCCCCCCCTCTAAACGTCTCACATGGTTTCATTACAGTGATTGTTCAAATTGTAACTAACAGAAGGTTGGAGAGAAGTAGAAAGTGCGTGAGTGAAAATAGATTAGAATAGCAGAACTCTTCTTTTCTTCTTTCCTGTGTTAAAAAAAAAAATAAAGTAGGTCACATAAGCTTTACTTCCGGCAGCTGAATACACGCCAATGCTTCATCATGTCACGTGTGATGATGCATCAGGCACAGACGTCCATCCAGTGTCTTTTTATTAATATTTTAACTGCATTTTGTGGCTAATATTCACTCACTTTTGCAGAATTGTAATGGGATGTTTTTACAGGATTCCATTGGTGCAATAACTTAAATAAAACATCCTTCTTCTACCTCTGATGAAATGAGTTGTGTTGCCGTGATGGTTACGAGGCTCCAACTAACAGGCAGAAAAGCCAGTAGAGGCAAAGTAAAGGTTACGAGAAAGAGAGTAAAAAAAAAATGACGAGTAGAAAGAGAGAAACAAAGACAAAGCAAGACTTCTTTGAAGACTTTGCCAAACCGGATAATGTAGGATGTGTCAGCAGGGGACAGAAAAGTTGATGGAAAACCAGATTAGGAACAAACAGACAGAGAGAGATCTGAGGTCTGAAGGCTTTTTTTTGGTCTTGATAGCTCAGTTTGGCTGGTTCCTGTTTTCAGCTCGAGCTGATGCTTCTGAAACGGATCAGTTCCTTTTTGACTCACAAACACACACACATCTCGTGCTGCTATACTTCTGAGAGCCTCCACTTGTGTATCCTTGCAATCCTTTACTTCCAGTCCTGACCCGAACCACCACCACTGCAGGCCTTTTCCCCCGACCTTTGTATTTACCCAAACTGTGTCGTTAAAGCGAAACCATTTCTTTCACCTCCAGTTTAGAGAGGTGACAAGCTGAGAAACACACATCAAAGTCAAGATCTAAAAGTCAAGCTGGTCCTCGCAAAGACAGAAAACACTCCCTCATACGCACCAGCAGCTCTGCTGGTTGGTATCTGTGTTGCTCAGACCACATCTGAGTCATCTGGTTGGTGTGCTGGCCTTCTTTAAAAAGCTATCTGATGTGATGACAACTATTCGTCAGTGGTTCTTTGTGTGTGTGTGGGTTGTTTTTTTTTTGTTCTTAAATCAAAAAGAAATTTATAATCATGTTGACTTCAGCGTCGCTCATTTTTGACAAATCTTTGATATGTCCAGTCCAGTTAGAGAAGTTATTTAGTTTTGAATACATTTTAAAGTGTCAGTCCATCCGAATCACAGAAGGACATGTTGTCAGTCGTCTGTTAATCAGCTGGACAGGTCGTATTTACTCACATCAAAGTATCCTTCACTAATTAAAGCACTGAAAAAGTACTAAAAACGGTCACTTTTCATTTTCTAAACAGGCAATGTTGGCTAATGTTTCAGTCATTCAATAAAGCGACTTGCATTTAAGTTTTCTGTGTTGACATATTTTAATGTTCACTAAAAATGTGTGTATTTTGAATTAAAGAAAATGAAAAAACAAAACAAAAAAAACAAAAAAAACAACCAAATTCATATAATCAGTTTTTTTTTAATTTAAAAAAAAAAAGAAGAAAAAAGGGGGAATTACTTTTTAACTTTTTTTTTTTTTTTTTTTTTAATTAAGTTGTTGTTGTTGTTGTTGTTGTTTTAATTATAGGGAAGTTGGCACAGCTTAATTAAACTAAGAAAAGTTAGGTTACTGCTATGTAAATAAGTAAAATAATCATAGTAAAGCTAAACACAAAAAATGAGTTTATGGTATTTCATTCATACTTGTAATGTCAACAACAACAAACAAACAAACAAACAAAAAAAACCCATGTAAGGTCACTCAACAATAAATGTTATTTCTACTTGTAAAACTGAGTTGGTTTCATTTAAAAGAGCTACTTAACCTTTACTTTCTAGTCATGTCACTTTAAATTGTTGATGTAATCAATTTCAACTATTTATTTTTATTCTTTTGAGTTTAATTAACTTATTAAGTTTTACAGTGTGAGGTTTGCATTACAAACAAAGATCCATGAACCTCCACTGCTCAGCATATCCCAGATGTTTCCTTACTGCCATTGTGAAGCTCNGGTCTAAGGAACATTTATATACAGTCTATGATCTTCCAGGGCTCATTGTACTTGCATGGCTTGTTTGGTTAAATAATGTGCTAACTCGCAGGTACAGCACAAAAAAAGTTAAACAGGTCAAAGTTTAATGCATTAAACCCACAAATTTCACTAAAATTTCCCTTCTGAGACATTTAAGTTTTACTCTACTCAGCTTCATTGCATCATATCCTTACTTACTTGTTCTATATTATGTTTATGTGTCTATTTGTGTCTGTAATTTACACGTGCATTTGTTTCTGCTGGCGCCTTTCAGTCAGATCATGTTTGCAAATGAGGAAAATATTTTTATCTGGTAAAATAAAGATCAAATTAAATAATAAAACAAAAATTAAAGCTGCAAGCAGCGTTGGTCGGGTCCTCGGTCTGCGTTGGACCCTCATGCCCGTCTGACCTCCATTTTGACACAATTACACACACAATTTAAACCTGCTTTAAGTTCAAGGAGCCATGTTTCTCTCTCCTCTCAGCCTCAGACTGTCAGTGAGTCACATGAGCAGCTGCACTGACCTGTGATGATGTCATCGTTCAGCATGTCCCTTGGTGGGAGAGTGACATGTTTACTCACTTTCTCTCTCCCATACAGCCACAATTTTCACCAAATGTGTGTAAAAACAACATATTTTTGTGGGAAATCTTGTTAGGAAGTCCTCAGTGTTATTTTTAAAGCTGTAGGACCTTTAGTTTTTTGTGTATATGACCAACTGACACAGCATGTCTGCACATGCCCCCATAGACACCCATACAAAGTATGAACCGAGGCTGCAACAGCTGATCAACTTTAACGGCTCGCCATTCGAAAACCGGTTGAGAAACGCCAAATCCCTTCAGAACTTTTGTACATCAAGGCCTTCTCTGTCTCCTGTGCGATTTTCACGTTGGTGCGATTTACGGTGTCAGACAAGATAATTTTTTCCCAAAAGAAGTTTTCGCTCATTTTTTTACTTTGAAAGGCAAATTGTGGACTTCCTGTTTGAAATAGGTCAGGGGTGTCAGCGCGAGATTTGTGGGTCTCATTGAGACGAACGTTTTGATGTTGGTTTGATCTCTGTACGACATTCCTACTGGGTGCTAGGGCCATTTTAGTGTGTTTTTCTGTAACTAGGTGGCGCTAGAGAGCATTTTCTTGTTTTTTTTTTNGTTTTACAGTGTGAGGTTTGCATTACAAACAAAGATCCATGAACCTCCACTGCTCAGCATATCCCAGATGTTTCCTTACTGCCATTGTGAAGCTCTGCAAACCCAACAGAACCCATCTACATGGTTAAAAACAAAGGGTTAGTGGGATCTTTTTTTTATTTTTTTTGTGATTTGGTTGATCCGACACCCAGAGAAAGCAGTAAAAGTCTCACCTCCTCTCATCTCTATCTGGTGCCAGAAACTTTGCCTCGTGTGCTAACCTCCATGTCATGTGACCTGGAATCAACCAGAATGTTTCTGTACAACAACTGAAGTATGTCTACATCCAACAAGCCCCGACACCCAGGAAATATGTTTAGAAACGTTCTCCTTCACTCTGGCAGCCTACTGAGACGACACGTTTTGTCCATTTATATATCAATCAAGCAGCCCTGGGGTTACAGTTAAGCTCTCATGACTCACACGACACTAGATAATAACCCATGCCAACCTCTTAGACCTGACTTTATAAGCAGCTCAGCATGAACAAAAACTCCTTTGCCTTCTTGCATGACCTATCGGTGCACTGGTCTGAATGGAGTGCATATATTTTTATGCATGTTTGCACCTAAAAACTTCACATCTGTCAAAAATAATCTCAAGTTATAGGAGCAGTGTGTAATATTTGAGAGGATCAATCAGGAGAAATGGAGTCGAACATTCACCTGCAAAAAAACTTGTTGTGTATTCATTAGCTTAGCATGAATCCAACAGAGAGCAGGCCTGCATGTTGTTTCTACAGGAGCCCAGAACAGACAAACCAAACAGTGAGTCAAGTTTTGAAGCTGAAGGGGGGCAGCCGCTGTAGTTTCCTCTATGCTTGGAAAGATAGTGGATTCAGTTGGATCCACTCTGCAACCACAGCCTCATACAAACTGGTCCTTTAAGTTCCACTGTGACTCGTGTGGAGGACTGAAGCTTTCAAAATGTCACAAAAAGAGACCCTGGCAGAGGGAGGGACTACATTCTCCACTCCATGTACGACCACATGTTAATGAAAGCATCTCTATGACTACCCCTGGTCTGGTATGGTGCTGTGGTTTCCAGTCACGGGGCGGCTGAGTAAACGGGTTGCGGGACCTTTAAAGGTCAGCAGTGGTGGACTAATGATTATTGATCGTCGGTGATGAGCTGATTAATCCGCTGCACTTTGGGCACAACGTGGATTTGCTTCGTCATGCTTGCTTGCAGCCATTTATTGAAGGAAAACAGCGAGACAGTGACGGATTCAAACAGCCTGGTTATTATATTATTACTTCATATAACAGAGTCTGGGCCTAAATGTCACCCTCACAGCTGCACAGAACTTGTGTTCGATGGAGTTGCAACAAGACTGAGGGAGATTCATCCAGAATGCTTGCTGAGTTCTGGTGATGTATTTGTTGTTGTTGAAACACTCGCAGCAAATCTGGATGAAAATAAGAAGCAGGCTAGTTGGTACTTGCAGGATCGTGCGTGCAGCATCGCAGTTACATCACCGTGGATGTAGAGACACGTCGCTCACTCTGCTCCTGGAATCATTTATCCCAGTTCATTAGAAAGAGTGATTATAAAACTAAATATGTTTTTCCCTTAGTACAGGCTCTACTAGAAACATTAAAACAATATATATGCTCGAAAAATCACAGAAATTATAAAGTAAATTATTTATGCTGTTGAATGTGCAGTGTCATCCCATAATAAAGTGCTCACAGCGAGAACATATTGCGACGTGTATCCTGTGTTACACAGCTGTGATGGCTGTCATCATGCATGTTGCACCATTTCCCTGTCAGTAAAAACAACATGTTGATTTCTTGTCCGCTGACTGCAAACCAACACGAGTGTGCAGTATATTCTGTAGCCCCGGCTCTGTATGCTGTTTTGTGGTAGCCCCATGGTGCATATTATGGAAAGAGACATAACTCTAGTTTGCCATGAAGCCCCACCCCCCTTTAATCTTTCTCTCACTTGTAAATTTATTGCCTGAAACACTGTTATTGTCTTTTTCCTAATGTCTGTCCGTATGTGTTTTTACTTGTGTGATTTAGGGCTGTGGGTAAAACATGTCTTCTCATCAGCTACACAACCAATGCCTTCCCCGGGGAGTACATTCCTACTGTGTGAGTATGACACACACACACACACACACACACACACACACAC